CTGGACCTTTGGGCATCAGAATCATCCCTTTATTCCATCTATTTACCTCTGACATCTTCAGTCGTATACTGAGTGGAACTCATCAGGCCAGGCTAAGCACCCCTTGAGGGTTATCTTTGTAAGTTTTTGAAATGTTTTTTTTCATGTTTTCATATTATTATATTACACTGTATATATCTTTTTTTTCTTTTCCTTTTTTTTATTGACATTACTTGTATATTATTGCATTATTCTTTCTTTTGCAGCTACAGCTACCTAAACCCCTTGAACCCTCAAAGAAGCTAAATGCGAAACGAGTTGGGACAACAACTTTTGCCTTATCCTTGGTTTTTCCTCCCATCATTTAGATGTTTTGCGTTTGTCACTTATTATAGGTTTTATAATATGTGGGGGAAAATGTTGGCAGGGGTGGCTGAGTTGCTTATCTTATTAATGGATGATTTTAGGGGTAAATACCCCATGACATTTTAAAATATTGTAATAGAAGTTTTTTTATTAACACTAAGCTGTGTATAAGTTTTGTTTTACCCACCATGTAAAATCCCACTATTTTTGTTTTGGTCTAGAACAGGGGTCTCCAAACTTTCTAAAGAAAGGGCCAGTTTACTGTCCTTCACACTTTAGGGGGGGCAAATTGTGCTATGGAGCAGTCTCAGGCTTAAAATACATTGAGCAGGGATGAGGATATTGTTATAAAACCATCAGATGGGTGGGAACGTAGTCTTATTTGATAGAAATCACTACAGGGAGATGTGCATGAAAATATTGAATAATAGGGATTGGTATACAATCACTCCAGAACAGTTAGTTCACAAATATAGAGATGCATTTATCAATATTTTGTCACAGGCTTATCATTATTATTATACAGTATTTATAAAGCGCCAACAGTTTGCTCAGCGCTGTACAATATAATGGGAGACAATACATGCGACAGTACAATAACAATACAATGCGATACACAAGGGTTCGAGGGCCCTGCTCCTTGGAGCTTAAAATCTAGGAGGGAGGGGGTAGTGGTACAGGAGGAAAATCTGTGGGGGATTGAGTGGTAGGAAGAGTGGAGGATGTCAGCAATTAGCGGGGGGTGGGGTAGGCTTCCCTGAAGAGGTGGGTTTTCAGGGTGCGCCTAAAGGAGAGGAGAGTAGATGATAGTCTGATGGATTGGGGTAGGGAGTTCCAGAGAATTGGTGACACCCTGGAGAAGTCCTGGAGGTGGGCATGGGAGGAAGAGACCAGGGAACTAGAGAGAAGGAGGTCTTGTGAGGAGCGCAGAGTACGTGTTGGGTGGTATTTGGATATTAGGTCGGTGATGTAGTTTGGGGCAGTATGATGGACAGCTTTGTATGTCAGTGTTAGGATTTTGAAATTGATACGTTGGGCAGTCGGAAGCCAGTGGGGTGATTGACAGATGGGGGTGGCGGAAACGGAGCGGTTGGTAAGGTGGGTGAGTCTGGCTGCAGAATTCAGGATAGACTGAAGTGGGGATAGCCTGTGGCGAGGTAGGCCAGTGAGGAGGGAGTTGCAGTAATCGAGTTGTGATATGATGAGGGAGTGGATGAGCTGCTTAGTGGTTTCTGGGGTTAGGAATGGGCGTATTTTGGCATTGTTGCGAAGGTGGAGTCTGCATGAGTTTGTTATTGATTGGACTTGGGGCTGGAAGGATAGATTGGAGTCAAGAATGACGCCAAGTACTCTGGCCTGTGGGGCGGGCCTGATGGTGGCATTGTTGGACGTGATGGAGAAGTCAGTAGGGGGTAGTGTGCAGGCTGGGGGGAAGATTAGGAGTTCAGTTTTGGAGATGTTCAGTTTAAAGAAGTGGAACGACATCCAATCTGATATGTCATTCAGTAGGCTTGTGATTCGGGCGGAGACAGAGATCATCAGGATATAATTGATAAAGACATGTATGAGTCCTTAGTGGTGAAATTTCCCTGCACACCAACATTCTATGCTTTACCTAAAACCCATAAAAATTTGCTGCAACCCCCATGTAGACCGAATATATGGGGTGTTGGTTCTCACACTGAAATGGCAAGTCAACTTATGGATGAATATTTGCATCCTCATGTAACCTCTTTACCCTCTTATATTCAGGAGACCTCTGGAGGGAATTGAGGTGCCTCTGGATACATGGCTGATCGCCATTGATATAAAGGCATTATATAGTAGTATACCTCATCATAAAGGAACTTCGGTAGTTCAAAGTTTCTTAAGAGAAAGACCACAGGAGTCTCACAAGTACAGTGAGTTCATTCTCATGGTCTTAGAGCATATTTTGACTCGTAATGTATTTGTATTCAACTGCCCCCTCTATCACCAGGTGCAGGGAGTAGCGATGGGGACCTGTTGTGCCCCATCGTATGCTAACCTGTACCTGGGGGGTGGGAGCAGTCGGTATTTTCAGATGAGAGGTTTGAGAGATTTTTGGCCCACATGCTGTTATGGCTTCACTACATAGACAATGTGGTGTTGTTTGGACAGGATTTTTGGATGAACTTTTGGAATGTATGGTAGTTTTGAACGAAAATGACTTTATTCTCAAATTTACGGTTCAATATGATAAAAACCAGATCTCTTTTTTTGGACATCCAAATCATGATCTTAGATGGTGGTCGAATAGGTACCACCTTGTATCGTAAACCCACTGTGGGTAATACGATATTACATGCAGATAGCTTTCATCCAAAACTTCTTATACACAGTATTCCATACTGTCAGTACCTGAGACTACGATGCATTTGCTCAGATGAACATCAGTTCAAACAGGAAACAGATGCGTTATGGGATAGGCTTCTTATGAGAAGATATTCAAGTATAATGCTTAGGAAAGCTTACAATAGGGCCCATAATCAAAAAGGAGAGAACCTCTTATTCAGACAGCAGAAAAAAATCACAATCTAATACGGTCAGACTGATTATCTCATATACAAAGCAACATGTACAAATCAGTCGAATTATTGAACAACACTGGTATTTGTTGGCAAATGATATTCTCAAGAAATACTTGAAAGCGTTCCGCAAAATTACATAGATGACTACGCTCAGTAAAAGATAGGGTAACTCAGAGCCATTTTCAGAGTATATGAGAAATGAGATGATAGATCGCTAAATGGTACATGGAAATGTGAATATTGCAGTTTTTGTAGCTGGATATTCAAAAGTCAAACCCTATTTTTGCCGGATGGTACATCTTATGCCATCAGCCAATTTGTAGATTGTCAAACCATTGGGATTGCTTATATCATATTTCGTGAATGTGGCACATTTTATGTAGGGAAAACGAAATGCCAATTTTGGCGAAGGATAAAAGATTATGTATACTGTGGAAAAAACAACCTGCTATCTACCCCGACTGGTAAACATGTGGAATTACACCATAGAGAGGGTACAAAAGTCCTCAAATTTGCAGCCTTGGAACAAATCCATGAGAACCCTAGAGGGGGCAATTTTGACAAAATTATTTTACAGTGTGAAACGTGCTGGATCTACCATCTTAAAGCGACCACACCACGTGGATTAAATGAAACAATCAGTTTCAAATCTTTCTTATAATGACTTACTTGAATCTGTGGCATGATATGTTCTGTGTTTTATGATGTAGGGCGACCAGTGTGAATTCATATGTCTTATGCTCTACTGTATGAGGCCATTGTTAATTCTGCAATTACTGGGAAATATAATGGATGTTAACCTTTATGATTATTATACATAAACTCGCCCTGATATGTACAAAGCCATATGTATGATAATTGATGTAGTACTAATGCTTTAGTTTTGTACAAAACAGACATACTTGTTGTTAATTGATTGATTGGCTCATGGTCTTTGAAAAATTGTGGCTTACTACACTGGGGCCTGATTGGTCTTTGGGAGGACATATGCACCCATGATTACCACCCCTTGGTAAATGATACATTGGGTCCAGCAATTCCTTTGGGTTCATCCCATGGGCATGGGTGTAGATCACTTTGGACATGGGTGTCGATCACTTGTCAGCCCAAGTGTGTACTTCTAGGGTGCACGCCGGCCCGAGTGTGTACTTCTAGGGTGCACGCCGCGTCATTGTGTCATTGCGCCAGTGTTTTTACATTGACGTTGATGACAGGAGTGGCGGGTGTATAAGAAGGACACCATATCGGAGGGACACTGATAGGGTGCTGGACGCGATTGCTGGAGATTTTAAAGGTAGCTATGTGATATGCTTTTTGATGGGTTAATTGGAGGCGCGGAAGCATTCGACTTGTTGGACTATGTTTGTGTGTATATATATCTGACTAATGTGGGCACTTTTTTGTATCCTAGGCAAATATAGGAGGACATTGATGCCAATTTATGTTTTCATTTCCCCATTGTGGGAGCGGAGATAGCCATTGGGATTATACTGTATCTATTTCCAGGTGAGAGTATATATATGTACCATGATTGGGTATTAGGTGTATGTTTATTCATATACATATACATATATTCATATATATTTTGACATATCAATAAATTTGTAGAATGATATAGGGTTTCTCAATATATATTTCAGATGAGAGCCCAATGAATCGTGGTTGTGGCCTACTCATTTCAAGGGTCCACACATTTACAAACTAACAGTGGCCTGGTCCTAGATTGTATCCACATATAATATAGCTTGCGGATGGTTCGCATATGAGTAAGTGGTTACATATACTTAATTTTGGTATGCTTATACACACATATATGAAACAATGAGGATTTTCATTTGGGGGGGCCTCTGTTCATATTTTTCTGTAGAATTAATACAGCTACTGAGCAGGATGGAATGATCCGTACCCGATTAGAAATTATGGTTTAATGAAGTTTGGGAATTTTCCCCCCCTTCTGTAACTGAGGCTGTTTATTAGAGATGAGCGAATTATTCAAAAATTTGATTCGGCTGATTCGGCGAATTTGCGGAATAAATTCGATTCGAGTCGAATATATTCGCTGCAAATTTAACTTTAAAAAGGGTGTTTCTAGGCTTCAGAGAGCCTTTATATTAGTGCAGAAACACTGTACCTTTAATTTAAATGCCCTTGGAGTCTGCTGGGGAAGAGAAATAATACTGTCAGTCAGTATATGACATGCAGATGAGTGCCGTCGATCTTAGAATCACCGCACACTTCACTCATTTGGGCAGTCACGGGGCCAAAACCAGAGTGTGGAGCCACAGTGTGGCGGTGGAGGCAGCAGCAATGGGAGGCCATACAGCACCCTATGACAAAAATGGAACCCACCAGCAGTGTGAGGAGACCTGAAAGTGGCACATGGCAGAGTGTGGCGATGGAGACAGCAGCAATGGGAGGCCGTACAGGGACCCATGACACACTCTGGACCTGGCAGCAGCATGAGGAGGCGGTACAGGGGCCCATGACAGATTACGGGCCTGGCAGCAGCCTGAGGAGTTGTACGGGGGCCCATGGCAGATTATGGGCCTGGCAGCAGCAATGGGAGGCCATACAGCACCCTATGGACAAAATGGAACCCACCAGCAGTGTGAGGAGACCTTAAAGTGGCACATGGCAGAGTGTGGCGATGGAGACAGCAGCAATGGGAGGCCGTACAGGGACCCATGACACACTCTGGACCTGGCAGCAGCATGAGGAGGCGGTACAGGGGCCCATGACAGATTACGGGCCTGGCAGCAGCATGAGGAGTCGGTACGGGGGCCCATGGCAGATTACGGGCCTGGCAGCAGCAATGGGAGGCCGTACAGGGACCCATGACACACTCTGGACCTGGCAGCAGCATGAGGAGGCGGTACAGGGGCCCATGACAGATTAAGGCCCTGGCAGCAGCATGAGGAGTCGGTACGGGGGCCCATGGCAGATTACGGGTCTGGCAGCAGCAATGAGAGGCCATACAGCACCCTATTGACAAAATGGAACCCGCCAGCAGTGTGGGAGGACCTGAAAGTGGCACATGGCAGAGTGTGGCGATGGAGACAGCAGCAGCAATGGGAGGCCGTACAGGGACCCATGACACACTCTGGACCTGGCAGCAGCATGAGGGAGGCAGTACAGGGGCCCATGACAGATTACGGGCCTGGCAGCAGCATGAGGAGTCGGTACGGGGGCCCATGGCAGATTACGGGCCTGGCAGCAGCAATGGGAGGCCGTACAGGGACCCATGACACACTCTGGACCTGGCAGCAGCATGAGGAGGCGGTACAGGGCCCATGACAGATTACGAGCCTGGCAGCAGCATGAGGAGTCGGTACGGGGGCCCATGGCAGATTACGGGCCTGGCAGCAGCAATGGGAGGCCCGTAATCTGCCAGCACCCTATGACAAAAATGGAACCCACCAGCAGTGTGAGGAGACCTGAAAGTGGTACATGGCAGAGTGTGGCGATGGAGACAGCAGCAATGGGGGAGGCCGTACAGGGACCCATGACACACTCTGGACCTGGCTGAGCAGCATGAGGAGGCGGTACAGGGGCCCATGACAGATTACGGGCCTGGCAGCAGCATGAGGAGTCGGTACGGGGGCCCATGGCAGATTACGGGCCTGGCAGCAGCAATGGGAAAGCCGTACAGGGACCCATGACACACTCTGGACCTGGCAGCAGCATGAGGAGGCGGTACAGGGGCCCATGACAGATTACCAGGCCTGGCAGCAGCATGAGGAGATCGGTACGGGGCCCATGGCAGATTACGGGAGGCAGCAGCAATGGGAGGCCTACAGGGACCCATGACACACTCTGGACCTGGCAGCAGCATGAGGAGGCGGTACAGGGGCCCATGACAGATTAAGGGCCTGGCAGCAGCATGAGGAGTCGGACGGGGGCCCATGGCAGATTACTGGCCTGGCAGCAGCAATGGGAGGCCCGTAATCTGCCAGCACCCTATGACAAAATGGAACCCTCCAGCAGTGTGAGGAGACCTGAAAGTGGCACATGGTAGAGCGTGGCGATGGAAGACAGCAGCAATGGGAGGCCGTACAGGGACCCATGACACACTCTGGACCTGGCAAGCAGCATGAGCGCGTACAGGGGACCCATGACAGAATTACGGGCCTGGCAGCAGCATGAGGAGGCGGTACAGGGGCCCATGGCAGATTAACGGGCCTGGCAGCAGCATGAGGAGTCGGTACGGGGGCCCCATGGCAGATTACGGGCCTGGCAGCAGCAATGGGAGGCCATACAGCACACCTATGACAAAATGAAAACCCACCCAGCAGTGTGAGGAGACCTGAAAGTGGCACATGGCAGAGTGTGGCGATGGAGACAGCAGCAATGGGAGGCCGTACAGGGACCCATGACACACTCTGGACCTGGCAGCAGCATGAGGAGGCGGTACAGGGGGCCCATGACAGATTACGGGCCTGGCAGGCAGCCCTGCATGAGGAGTCCGGTACGGGGGCCCATGGCAGATTACGGGGGCTGGCAGCAGCATTGGGGACCTGGCAGTTATGGTGTCGTACAGGGACCCATGACACACTCTGGACCCCTGGCAGCAGCATGAGGAAGCGGTACAGGGGCCCATGACAGATTACGGGCCTGGCAGCAGCATGAGGAGTCGGTACGGGGGCCCGATGGCAGATTACGGGCCTGGCAGCAGCAATGGGAGGCCCGTAATCTCTGCCAGCACCCTATGACAAAATGGAACCCACCAGCAGTGTGAGGAGACCTGAAAGTGGCACATGGCAGGAGTGTGGCGATGGAGACAGCAGCAATGGGAGGCACGTACAGGGACCCATGACACACTCTGGACCTGGCAGCAGCATGAGGAGGCGGTACAGGGGCCCATGACAGATTACGGGCCTGGCAGCAGCATGAGGAGTCGGTACGGGGGCCCATGGCAGATTACGGGCCTGGCAGCAGCAATGGGAGGCCGTACAGGGACCTATGACACACTCTGGACCTGGCAGCAGCATGAGGAGGCGGTACAGGGGCCCATGACAGATTACGGGCCTGGCAGCAGCATGAGGAGTCGGTAAGGGGCCCCATGGCAGATTACGGGCCTGGCAGCAGCAATGGGAGGCCCGTAATCTGCCAGCACCCTATGACAAAATGGGAACCCACCAGCAGTGTGAGGAGACCTGAAAGTGGCACATGGCAGAGTGTGGCGATGGAGACAGCAGCAATGGGAGGCCGTACAGGGACCATGACACACACTCTGGACCTGGCAGCAGCATGAGGAGGCGGTACAGGGGCCCATGACAGATTACCAGGCCTGGCAGCAGCAATGGGAGGCCGTACAGGGACCCATGACACACTTCTGGGAACCCCTGGCAGCAGCATGCCGAGGGCGGTACAGGGGCCCATGACAGATTACGGGCCTGGCAGCAGCATGAGGAGTCGGTACGGGGGCCCATGGCAGATTACGGGCCTGGCAGCAGCAATGGGAGGCCATACAGCACCCTCCTCCTCTTCTTCTGTGTCCTGCCCCCCACAGGGGTCATGTGGCGTTGAGATCTGTGCGCCACGTCTACCGACGTCGTTCATCCCCATAGTCCTGCCGACTCACGAATAGCGTGGCCTCCTCAAAGGGCCTGAGCAAGCGGCAGGTGTCACGCATGAGCTGCCAATGGCTGACATCTAAGTTACACAGGGGAGTACTTTATCCGCTTGTAACATCAGGAAATCGGTGATGGCCTTTCGCTGTTCGTAAAGGCGGTCTAACATATGTAGGGTTGAATTCCACCTTGTTGCAGCGTCGCAGATCAGGCGATGCTGTGGAATTCCGTTCTGCCGCTGCAGCTCAAGGAGGGTGTGCTTTGTGGTGTAGGAATGGCTGAAATGCATGCAAAGTTTACGTGACATTTTAAGGATGTCTTGCAGTGGGATGGTGGATTTTAGGAACCGCTTGACAACCAGATTGAACACGTGAGAGCCATGCATGGCGCATGGCACAACCTTCCTTGACGCAGAGCAGACACCATGTTCTTTCCGTTGTCGGTCAACATGGTTCCGATTTTCAGTTTGCGCGGAGACAGCCATCTGTCGATTTCTCTGTTCATTACACTGAGAAGTTCCTCCCCTGTGTGACTACGTTCGCCAAGGCATACCAGGTGCAGCACAGCGTGACACCGTTGCGCCCTGCACATGTGATATGCCGGTCGGGTAATGGGACTTGGCACGGGGGTGGTGGCGCGGCTGAGGACACGGCGGAAAGAAGAGGTGGTAGAGGCGGACATCTTTGCTGGACCAAGGACGTGCAAACGTGGAGGCAAAAGCGGCGTGACCTGTCAAAGTTGCTGGTGCGGCTGTGCCGGCACCACGTTCACCCAGTGGGCCGTAAATGACATGTACTGTCCCTGACCGTAGTTACAGCTCCACACGTCGGCGCTGCCGTGCACTTTGGCAGCAGAGACCGACATGCTCAAAGACTGGCCCACCATCTCTTCTACATGTGAATGCAGGGCTGGCACTGCCTTTTTGGCGAAAGAAATGCCGGCTTGGCACTCTCCACCGCGGCTCAGCACAAGCCATCATTTCTCGGAAAGGTGCTGAGTCCACCACTTGGAAAGGGAGGGACTGCAGCACCAGCAACTTGGACAGGAGGGACGTTCAGCTTCTGCACCGTCTGGTGCGTGCTCGCAAACTGTTGTCTCTTGGAAACGGATTCCAAGGAAGACTGCTGACGGAATCCGTGAAGAGGAGTAGCAGGAGAAGGAGCATCTGAATGAGCGGAAGATGCCAACGAGCGACAACTCCCCTCAGCAGAGGTGTTGGAGCCTTGACTGGCTGATAGAGGGCGATTGACGTCGGGTGACGGAGCAAGTAACGGAGCTGGTGATGGAGCAGGGGCTGGGGCGGGCAGAACCGCCGTATCTTTATCACGGTTTTCCCAGGCCCACCGAATGGCGACGCTGCATATGCTGATGCAACGCTGTAGTCCTAACATGGGCCCCCTGGCCACGCTTGACTTTCTGGCCACATAGTCGACATACGGCTACGTTTACTTCCTCGGGCGGCTTGATGAAAAATTGCCACACCGCCGAGTAGGAAACTTTGCCCCCGATACTCCTCACTGGCTGACTGCTACTTCCTCCGTGCACACCGGCACCACTACTGGCCGTGGTGGTAGGCTGCAGTGGAGCTGGTGCTCTACTCCGTGGCCGTTTGCCTCCACTGACACTGCTGCGACCCTGCTGCTGCCTCCTGGGCAACCCACCGACTGTTTTGCTCGCTGCCAAGCTGGCACCCTCTTTCTCCTGATGATGCGGAAGCAATAGCCTGATGACGACGAGGCTGCCAAGTGCGATCAGCCTCATCATCATCAATTAGGGTCTCCGCCTCACTACTAGCCCCCTCGGCTGCGTGTGGGTCAGGAGACAGACCTGTCTCTAGACCGGCTACCGAGCCACTCTCCCTCGCCAGTACTTCTTCGCCTGGCTGCTGAAGAGGCGGATGTCTCCCCCCGTTCCTGACCGCCCTCTGTTAGCTCTTCCCTCACTGTACAGTGGGGCTGAGCCCACAGCATGCGATACTTCTCTTGGTGAGGGAACACCAAAAGGACAGGGGCAGGTAGAGGACACGTGATTTCAGTGGGCTTGCTCCCGGGCCATGCCAACTAACGGTTGTGTCTGACGTACCCACCGACCGTTGGCTGTAGGTGTCAGAGGTGACCTGGGAAGAGGAAGACGACCGAGCCAACCAATCGATGATGGCAGGGTTGTCGGTGGAGACACGACCGCTGGATGACACCGGGAGCACTGGCCTCTGGCTGCGACTAGTGCTGCCTCAACCCCTTCCTCTGCTGCCACGTCTGCTCGCTCCTGAAACATTGCCTCCTCTGCCACTCCTCTGCGTGTTGTCTGACATACTCTTTAATTCAACGATTCTGTGTCCCTGAGTAACGATTCTGTGTCCCTGAGTAACAATTCTGTGTCCCTGAGTAACGATTCTGTGTCCCTGAGTAACAATTGTGTCCCTCAGTAACGTCTGTCCTGAGTAACAATTCTGTGTCCCTCTAACAATTCTGTGTCCCTGAGTAACGATTCAATTCTGTGTCCCTCAGTAACAATTCTGTGTCCCTGAGTAACAATTCTGTGTCCCCTGAGTAATGATTCTCAGTAACGATTCTGTGTCCCTGAGTAACAATTCTGTGTCCCTGAGTAACAATTCTGAACAATTCTGTGTCCCTGATGTAACAATTCTGTAGTAACAATTCTGTGTCCCTCAGTAACGATCCCTGAGTAACAATTCTGTGTCCCTGAGTAACAATTCTGTGTCCCTAGTAACGATTCTTCTGTGTCCCTCAGTAACGATTCAGTAACAATTCTGTGTCCCTGAGTAACAATTATGTGTCCCTAAGTAACAATTCTGTGTCCCTGAGTAACAATTCTGTGTCTGTCCCTGAGTAACAATTCTGTGTCCCTGAGTAACAATTCTGTGTCCCTCAGTAACGATTCTGTGTCCCTGAAAAACGATTCTGTGTCCCTGAGTAACGATTCTGTGTCCCTGAGTAACATTTCTGTGTCCCTGAGTAACAATTCTGTGTCTGTCCCTGAGTAACAATTCTGTGTCCCTGAGTAACAATTCTGTGTCCCTGAGTAACGATTCTGTGTCCCTCAGTAACAATTCTGTGTCCCTGAGTAACAATTCTGTGTCTGTCCCGGAGTAACAATTCTGTGTCCCTGAGTAACAATTCTGTGTCCCTGAGTAACAATTCTGTGTCCCTCAGTAACGATTCTGTGTCCCTCAGTAACAATTCTGTGTCCCTGAGTAACAATTCTGTGTCCCTGAGTAACAATTCTGTGTCTGTCCTTGTAGTAACAATTCTGTGTCCCTGAGTAACAATTCTGTGTCCCTGAGTAACACAATTCTGTGTCCCTGAGTAACAATTCTGTGTCCCTGAGTAACAATTCTGTGTCCCTGAGTAACAATTCTGTGTTCCTGAGTAACGATTCTGTGTCCCTGAGTAACGATTCTGTGTCCCTGAGTAACGATTCTGTGTCCCTCAGTAACAATTCTGTGTCCCTGAGTAACAATTCTGTGTCCCTGAGTAACAATTCTGTGTTCCTGAGTAACAATTCTGTGTCCCTGAGTAACGATTCTGTGTCCCTCAGTAACAATTCTGTGTCCCTGAGTAACAATTCTGTGTCCCTGAGTAACAATTCTGTGTCTGTCCCTGAGTAACAATTCTGTGTCCCTGAGTAAAAATTCTGTGTCCCTGAGTAACAATTCTGTGTCCCTCAGTAACAATTCTGTGTCCGTGAGTAACAATTCTGTGTCCCTGTGTAACAATTCTGTGTCTGTCCCTGAGTAACAATTCTGTGTCCCTGAGTAACAATTCTGTGTCCCTCAGTAATGATTCTGTGTCCCTCAGTAACAATTCTGTGTCCCTGAGTAACAATTCTGTGTCCCTGAGTAACAATTCTGTGTCTGTCCCTGAGTAACAATTCTTTGTCCCTGAGTAACAATTCTGTGTCCCTGAGTAACGATTCTGTGTCCCTAAGTAACGATTCTGTGTCCCTAAGTAACGATTCTGTGGCCCTAAAGTCTCTCTGGCCCTAACTCTGTCCCTAATACAGACAGGTCTGTCTCTCTTGAATGACCGCAGGCTAATGGAGAATTGTAAGATGGCCGCAATTTATAGCTCCACCATTACACAGTGCTGGCTGGCTGGCTGCTGATTGGCTAATGCGATCACATGTCATGAATGAATGCATTATGGGTCAGCGCGCCTTGTCTGCGCGCCTTCCCAGAGATCCCCGCTCCGTCGCCACACATGTCGCCGCCATTTTTGGGAAAATTCGATTCGTGCATCCGAAGTTTGCTAATTTTCGGATTCGGCGCGAATCGAATTTTTCCTGAACTTCGAAACGAATTCTACTTCGACATGTTCGATTCGCTCATCTCTACTGTTTATGTAGGTATCCAGGTACTTGCCAGTCTGTTTGAAACAACTTATGTAGAGATAAATAATCTAATGTAACTTTTTTTTGTAGATTCTATTGGTGATCATTACATTATTGCAAATGTGCCCCTCAGATAAGTCCTTTTTGTTTCCCCTATGTTCACCTTTCAGACTTCGCATTTGGGTCCTTCTGCAGTACGCCCTATTAATGTGAGCCTATGTATACAGTATCTCACAGAAGTGAGTCCACCCCTCAAACTTTTGTAAATTTTTGATTCTATCTTTTCACGTGACAACACTGAAGAAATGACACTTTGCTACAATGTGGCATAGTGAGTGTACAGCTTGTATAACAGTGTAAATTTGCTGTCCATCCAAAATAATCCAACACACACAGCCATTAACCATTTCAATACCGGGCAATTTTACACCTTCCTGCCCAGGCCAGTTTTCACGTTTCAGCGCTCTCACACTTTGAATGACAATTGCGCGGTCATACAACATTGTACCCAAACTAAAATTTTATAATTTTCTTCACAGAACTAGAGCTTT